TAACTATATGCCAAGATGTTTATTTGCTGTATTACGAACACCAGACCTTGTTTGATGTCAGACCTGCATCGGGTCAAGCTGATTAACTGTTCGTTTTCAGTTAAGATCACTCTCCCCTCCACATCTGCTGGGCGTGCTGCTTTGACCTGTCCTGCTCATGTCAGAGATGAAGTCATCTGTAGACTGAGCCGTTGGGACATACACATGCATGCACAGTATGTTTCTGTAGTATGTAATATTTGTATGATGTTGCCTGCATCATCACTGGGTTTTATTCTGTGCAAGCTGTTTTATTTTTAACTACTGTCACAAACTCATGTCAAGTGTTTCTTCATGTTTTAATGGCATTTAAATTAGATTTCTTGAGCTTTACATCTAGCAGCTGGACCCCTCTTGTTAAGTAGTGACCTCATGCTTGGTTATTCCCACTGATGTGCAGCATTGCCAAGAGAAAAATGATGGCATGCTTTTGCCTTGCGGAGTTTAAGCACCTTATCACCGATTTGTCTCGTTCCATATGTCCGTCAAATTGCCTTTTCAAGGAAGTCCCTTAGAAAAATTATTATAACTATATGCCAAGATGTTTATTTGCTGTATTACGAACACCAGACCTTGTTTGATGTCAGACCTGCATCGGGTCAAGCTGATTAACTGTTCGTTTTCTATTGTCCTTAGCAGTTAGTCAAGTTGTTCCTGTGTATGCGGGATCCCAGTATGACAGTGCATTCATCTTATTACTGCATATGATGATGGCAGACAGAGTTTTGCTCCTCAAGGACTTGAAATTGATCACTGTGTTTTTCCAAAAAGCAATTGTTTCCATTAACAAAGTCTAACAAAGTAGAGTGTTTTATTTGGTAGAATTTTATATTTTAAGTTATGTAATGTCCAAGGAACATGCTGTGCTGAAAATCCTTTACCTACTTTGGTGTCCTAGTCAAAAATGACTGGCCTTTTAAAAATTGATTGTAAATCTGTCATTATGCTATATTATGACTTATGTTGTATTCAGTCTTTTTGTTAACTTTTCTTTCAGTTAATACAGGTTTTGTATTTCTTTTTGGAACGGATTGGTATAGGCCTCATTGATTTGAGCTTATGCACCTGTAAGTGATAAAAAAAACTAAAAAAAAAAAAACTTTTCGGATGATTTTGGAAATATTCACTCAAAAACTGAGATGCATAAGCTCAGATTAATTAGGCCTATAATAAATCAGTTCCAAGAACAAATACAAGAAAACAAGATGATAAAAAGATGTGGATGTGATGTTTTATAATAATATAACAAGACATTTATAAGCAATATTGTAGGCTGGTCATTTTTGACTAGGAGCACCACAAGTATAACAAGGTAGTGCAAAAATTGTCAATTCTTTTTGGGAAGTTGTTACACCCTGTGTGAGCAAAGTCAGTAGGTTTTAGCCCAATGCTGTAACTTTAACTAGGATTTTTGGGAAAAAGAAGATCTTTTCTGGGTTAAAATGACTATAACACAACATGAGGTTTAAAGAAAAGGAAACATGAGTCAAAATTATTATTTGTGGTAATCAACATTATACTACAACTGCTGGTTGATCTTAAGTTGTGTTGAATGTGGAATATTCCTTTAAGAACCATAGTGGTATTGTCTCCTCGCCATATGAGTTTGGCTTTCCCACTTACGGGAATATATGCACAGCAAGCACGCCTCGGGGCATGGGAAAAAGGATTATTTGAAGGAAAGAGAACTGATCTGTAACAACTTTCTCAATTAGTATACTATTCCTAAGACTCATCTACAGTGTTTACACCAGTAGCTGTTCGTTTCCTGGAGCAGGATTTGCACCCGTGCCATGACTCCATGGAAAGTAAGGGGCTCTTTATTTTAGCCCGTTGAGAAATTAAAGTCAAACTCAAATGGGCTCTGGTGTCAGGACAAGTACAGCTTGGAAAAAATGAGAGGTTTAAAAAGTCAGTGAAGAACATGCTCTAGACATGCTGAAGTCATTGTCTAAATGACTCTTTTGTAGTAACCTTTGGATTTGAATTGGTTTGCATTAAGTCGATTATATAACCAAGGTTGGCCTAAATTGAGACAAATATAACAAGCATGACCATGTGTATACATGTACTGTATGATTATGTATAACATTATAACTTTATGTAGCATGACTGATTGCAAAACGTGATTTGGACATGCTTCAAATTTAATTACTCCTGATAATGACGCCCTTTTGCCCTTGCGAATTAAATCACCCATGACAACTCTGATTGCTGCTAGTTTTTATTATTACAGCATCTCCCTCCTATTGCAGTATTTCCTCAAGTGTTGCATACATTTTACAATTCCACAAATGACTTTTCCCTCCATACTTTTCCAGACGAACATGACTGCAACATTCCAGGCAATTCATCTTGCATGTTAAAACAATTCCATCTGTTCACAATTTATCCATTCCCTCCCTGTCACTAATTAGCACGGAATACATTTTTCTTTTAAGTGTAATGTAGGTCACAATTTTTGGCCAGAAGCTGTAGAGTTCGGTTGAGCACACCCATTAAAACTTTGAGAATTCAGCTATCAGCACAGATCAATAATAAATAAAGAGACATATTTGCAGAGAGAGCTTCTCTTAATACTCATGTTGACTTTTACAAATCCATAGTGCGCTAGAGCCAATGCTGGCTCCCTCTCCATCACCTTCCTACTTAAAACAAAGCTTTCGGAGTGTTTTCATTAGTGAGAACTTTAATGGAGTTTTAAAATAAGTTTAACAGATCAATCTTTCTTATGCACTGGGCAGTGAAAGGTAGGATCTGTATTATGGATTGGCACTCGAGTACTCAAGTACCCGGAAATGGTAGCACACTGATTAATCAATAAAACACAAAAAAACTTTACAAAACATCAATAAGTCACAGTGATAAGTCCTGCAACAAGTAAGCACAAAATAAATCAGCTTATTTACTGTTTAATTTTTGTCATTGGTTACAACCTTTCGTTTTCTTTTTAACCACTTTGCTGTCACCCCCCTATTTTCGGCATGGAGACACAAATGACATACCCAAAATAAAAAGGTTGCTGCTCATCAGTCTTTCTGACTAGATACATAATCAACATATGTTCACAAAGCTGACACTTCAAAGTTTACTGTTCAAGAATCAGAATTACTCAGACTGTTATGATAATATAGATATATAAGCGCAAACATAAAAACAAAAATAAAAATATTTAAAAATATTAAATAAAAAATATTTTTTTAAATGTATAAAAAAATATGTTGCTGTGGTATATGCTTTTAGAAACACAATGAAGCTAAAGCCACAAGTCTACTAATGCTTCATTTCAAATTTCAGGACATAATCTTTAAAACTGTGAATTTTATAAAACATGTTCGAAGACCATGTCATGTGTGTTTTTAGAGAAGGCTAATAAAAGGCTAATAAAATTGATTTATGGCCCTATGTAAGCTCTCCTGTGTGCTGTCGCCTCATGTCTGGCTCAGCAAACTGCCCCATTCATGATTCTGTTGGTGTCACGCGACTAACCTTTCACACCTCCGCCAGGTATGAGACATTATCCTCATTATTCCTTTATCATTATTCTTTTGTTTTATTCAGCCATTAGTAGCCTTTATTCTGGCATTACAAGGTTTACCAAGCCACATCGCTTCAATCCCAGTATACATTTACCTGCCTATTATCAAAAGTCTTTCTAAAAAAAATACAACAAAACATTTTCTTGCAACCTTACATCAATTATTATGACAAAATACATTATGAAGAAGATCTGCACCTGTTCTGCAGCTGCATTAGAGCTAACATTAGCATCAAGCTACATAAGACAATTTATGAGATTATTAGTACACTTTTACTCAAAACTCTGAAACAACAATAATAAATAAATAAATGATAAAATAATAATAAATAATCTGGGGCCATCGCCTATCTTTGACAGCTAAGGGGTTAATCAGCTTTTACTTTTCTTGTTGATTTATCGGACAGGAATTTATCTGAATTTGTATCCAGGTCTACAGCACTCAACACTGTTTAGAGGGGGTCAGGTGCTCATTTGAATTATGTGGATTACTCGCATAGACAAAATGAACATTAATTTTCTATGTACTGTGTAGTTTATGTTATACATTGCTGGTATTTATTTCCCTCATTGCTCACAGGGAAAGCATGATATATATTCAGGTGTTCAGAGTTTTCTCCAGAGCCACAGCTTATTCACGCATAGCTCAGCTCTTCATCCGGCCCCTCGGTGTGGATTATTGCTCTTAAGAACAGAAGGGATGTCTTTTTTGTGGAGCTATCCTTGTGTAATCACAACCTGTCTTTTCACTATAGCAGTACAAAGCTATCTCAAGTCTAGACTTTCGTGGTCATAGGTCAACTTATGGCCTTTTTCACAATTCCTCATCTGCCTCCAGCATCGTTCTGAGAACAAAACTCTCCTCCAGGATTGACCAGGAAATCCCCCTGATCTTTGGCCGATCAAGCCCCTCTGCACAGAAACCATATGAAGGCCATATATTCATAATAGCACAATGTTTGTTTGACTTGTCCCACCCTTATTATTTCACCGCCGATTATGAAAATAAACCCCCTGACACATGTCTGGGGAAAGGAAAGTCGTCAAAAAAGCATGTTTAAATCAAGCTAATTTAGAAATGTGTTTTTCATATGCTTCATTTAGTTGTTCCCTGTGAAGGAATGTTATATTGAAGTTTTACCTTGTTATTAAATGTTGCTGATGCAGGCAAATACATATGGTGCTAACCTCTAAACTGTGTTTTACTGTAATATAATATTTTTGCGAAATCGAATCTGCCCAGGGGCTTTAGAAACATTATGAATGTGGGATGGTTGTTCAATTTCAAATGGAAGAACCCAGCCGCAGTTTATTGAAATTTCTTGCTTATTTTTTTTTTCCTTGTTCTGTTTATTTATATTCATCACTCAGTTTGGGGTGTCTTAGGGTTCAGCTTGCAATTGATTGAAATTGGTTCCGTGTAATGGCTGTCCTCATCAACTTATTCCAGGGTTTTGAGGAGCAAAAATGTTTCAAGCTTAAATCAAATCATGCTAAAATGTCACTTGCATAATAGATTCGGCTGATAAAATTCTGCATGTCCAAATTTCACATTTTTGTGTAGTGTTTGTTTCCCTGTGCTGCCAAGTATCTCCTTGGCTACAGGAAGTTGCCCTGATATTTTCCGATTGAAGCAACCTCTTCAAAAAGGCTTTTACAACTAAAGCCCTCAAACAGTTGACTGGCAGTGAGACTTATTTGTTCCATGATTTGTATTCATGATAAAATTCTGTGAGAAAATAATGCTGTGAACATCTTTTGAGATGCTGTGGCATCTTTTCAGCACTGAATGGGATAATGTGAGAAAACTGAAAAGCCTGATTAGTGCTGGCAGCAGACAGTTCAGAGCTCCATTAGTTGTGGAAAAATGACTCCAGGAAGGAAAACTTCATTCTGAATTACATTGGTTTTATCAGTACTCCCAAAACAAAGTTTAACTTTCTGGACGCTTTCACAACAAGCTTAATGTTGACAAAGCGTAATGCTGTTTGCGTGAACATATTTGCTTGTTTTTTTCTCTTTACTTTAGATGATGAATTTGGTGCAGAGGGTGGTGGTCCTTCAGAAGCTCCTCACAATCCACCCCAATCTCAGCCTTCTTTCCACGGCCACCCATCAAATCAACCCCCAGCATCCAATTTCAGTAATATTCAGAAACCTCCTGGGTCTCACACCCCAGCCAATACACCTGCAGAGATTCCCCATCCAGTAGGTAAGCTAGCTGAGCTTAAGTGTACTTTATAACCATCTGCCATGCTTCCACTATACAATACTATTGAAAAGTTTGGGGTAAGTAATAGGGTTGTGACGGTGAGGAAATTTTCCCACCGGTTAATCGACGTGTGACAACACCGGTAATACCGGTATCACCGTGGGGGCGGGGGCGTTCCCTCTTTTCCTAGCTTTCCTTCGCTTTTTAATAGCTTGTAAAAGCGGCGTGCGCATTTTAATTTCACTTTTGAATTAGCGGCAGTTAGGTGTCAATTGCTTGAATGCAACAACCAAATACAACATCAAACTCACTTTAGCGTATATATAAAACATAGAACTTTTATTAACAAAACAAATACACACAGTCTATCGCGGCAAGCCTAGTAAGTAAGAAATTAATACTTTTATTCAGCAAGGATGCATTAAATTGTTAGGAAGTGACACTAAAAACACATTTATAATTATACAAAAAATATATTTCAAGTAGATGCTATTCATATGCTCTTTCTATTCATCAGAGAATCGTGAAAAAATATATCACTGTTGCACAGCACAACTGTTTTAACATTGATAATAGTAAGAAATGTTTCTTGAGCACCAAATCATGTAGCATTAAAGACTGGAGTAATGGCTGCTGAAAATTCAGCTTTGAAATAAATAAAAATTATTTCCTATTTTGATATATTTAAAAATATAATTTGTTATTTTAAATTGTAATAATATATCACAATATTACTGCTCTTACAAAATCTTACCAAAATCTTTGTGTACTTAGGAATCATGTTTTTTTTTTTCTTGTTTATGGACAGCCATGCATTTGATAACAAAATTTAAAATCAGTATTTGCTCAGTTTGTGTGGGCAGCGATTGATGAAAACTGATTGTCATTCATAACACAAATCCCTTGACTCAAACGTACAGGTTAATTAGTACTTCTCAGAGGACTGGGACAGAGCTGTAGCGTGTTTGCTTGTGTATTTCGCGTTCAGGGTTCCTGTTTTTCTTTCTAAAGCGCAGAAAGGCAGGCTCAGGGTCCCCATGAGGGGCATGTTTCCCCTGGTAACTGCTGTCCTCTGTGATTAGTGCTTTGGCTTCCAGAAACGGAAATGACTAATCTGCAACATGGCACCCCAGAGGTGCAACCACTTAATTTGATCATGCATAGCATGCTCTCATTTCCTTGCTCTTGTATTTGACACTGTGTCAGCTCTCAGACTCTTTAGATGAAACCAAAGTGAACTTTGCTTTAAATAAAATGTACCTTTTGTTCTTTTCTTCCATGGAAAGATTGTGCTCAGCCGTAGCTGGTAGCTGAGTGCATCTACATCTAAATCAGTTACAGCGGTCTAAAATAAATGGGCGAGTTAATTCATTCATTACAGTTTTTCAACATCCTATCAGGCATGATTGCAAATGCAAAAAACGCTTTCATGGTTATGAGCTAATGGACTTTTTTCCCTCTTTTGAAGCAGCACAGCCCGTCAAACCAGTGCCTGTTCCACGAACCATGCCAGTGGTCGATCCTTCACTTCTAAACAATACCCAGGAAGGTAAGCTTTTTGTTTGAAGATGACTCCTCTACACTGAAATACAATTTCACTGAAGTCAGCAAACAGTCGTGACAGAAAGCATAGAACCTCATTTCACAGATATGATGGACCTCATTTTCTGCTCATGAAGCCAGAGGAAAAAATCAGACATTGCACTGGATTTTCTGAAATAAATTAAGGTTTTATGGAAAGCAGATTGACTCTTTTGGCTTTCCATAGTTGGTGGGAACGGCCACAGATGAAGCTCAAAATGACATTCCCTTACTACCAGCCATTGTGTCACTGGAATGTACCTTTAATAAGAATTATTGCAGATTGTGCCCAAAGCTGCTGTTGGCATTCAGCCTGCCAATTAAATAATTTGGCTAATGAGTGAGGTCATTTCATATACAATGACTGTCTATTATTGCTGCAATTGCCAGAAATAGAGCAGACTGAGAATTTTGTAATGCAAGATGTAATTTGTCCAGATACAAATTTCAGATGACAAAAAGTTGCTTTTCTAGCTCAACCAGACATGTATTCATTAAAAACGGAGTATCATTTGATATTGTTTTGGCTAATTGAAGTCTGTCTGCTATAGTAACTGGTACCCAGACAGGGACAAATAAGGAAGATAACACATAAATATAACCTCAATGTGAAAAGTTTGCATTGTTATACTGCAAATTGCTTTTAAAAACCATTCTTTCTGAACCATTGAGGTCTTTCTGAGAACATATCAGCTATCACATTGTCTATTGGATTGAAAGTTTGCACTGCATGAGACACTAATTGGTGATGGATAACAAGGCTCTGAAGGTGAGGTGATTTTGGTAGGGGTCATCCTCCCAAGAGTTTCAATATCTGAACCCATTTAAAAACCTGTTTATTTGATATTTCACAGACCAAAGTAAAAAGAATGCATTCATCCATGAAACCAGGGATTAGAAACTGTTTAAGTAACAAAAACTTTTTTTTTTTCAGAAGCTAAGAAAAAATGGGGAAAAAATGTAGTATTAATTAATGAATAATAAATCATTTGTATATTATTTATTATTATTTAAATACTGTAATTAGTTAGACAAAAAGTAGTTATATAATAGTTATTTAATAATTTATTCATGTTTAATCAAATATTAGAATTAGCTTTATTTTCAGTTTTCATTTTAAGGATTTAGAAATGTTTTATTTTTTTCAATTTAGCTTTAATTTTTTTTTTTTCTTATTTATATAATTTATTTTTTATTAGTACTTCAGTGTAGATGTATTTTAATTAGTTGCCAAGCCTACATTTCTAATTATCATTTAAAAAATTAAGTTTCATTTTTTTTCAACATATATTTATATTCTATTTTATTTCAGATAACGAAAACTTTTTTTAAGTTTTAATATTAGTTAAAAATAATAACAAATCTGATTCAACTTAAACAGCATTTAAAATAAATAAAATAAAAATTACTGTAATAAAATGACTTTCCTTATTTTTGTTGTTTTGAAGTAAAAAAAATATCACTGACATAAGATGGTACTATGTATAAGGGGTCACATCTTTTACCTTTATGATTTTGGTTAAGTGTATAATATTATATCATACTGAATCCTTATGGTTTACTCCTGTTCTAATAAATAGGTTAAAAGACTTTTAATTGAATGAATTGAATCCCTTTTCTCAACTCATGCTGATCTAATCACTATTATCAGAGTAGTTAATGGTGATCAGTACTTGCAGGACAGTGATGAACAAGATCAGCAAACAAGCTGATATACCGACATGCCTCCGAGACAACTGCTCTGCCTACACCTAACAATAACAAACCAATTACCAATTACAACAAGTCCCAGGGTGGATCATGTCACTACAGTGTAACTGGGAAATGTGTCTTAGCTAACAAACAAATCCTTACGTCACAGAACCTGTACTTACCAGCAGTCACGTGTAAAGACCTAATCAAGCTATAGTCTTGGGTGAAGGTTCGTTCACCCAAAAATGAAAATTAGCTTGTGTTTTACTCACCCTCAAAGCATCCTAGGTGTATATGACTTTCTTCTTTCAGACGAATCCAATCGGAGTTATATTAAAAATTGTCCTGGCCCCTCCAAGCATTACAATGGGGTTAAGCAGGTGCTTTTTGTCAACAGTGTTGACAAAAAGCGCTCGCTTATCCCCATTGCAATGCTTCAAAGAAGAAAGTCATATACACCTAGGATGCTTTGAGGGTGAGTAAAACACAGGCTAATTTTCATTTTTGGGTGAACTAACACTTTCAGTCCAGCTGCACCAACCAAACAGGCCTCAAATATTCAACTCATTCGTAATGCATTTCCAGTTATTTCTGTGTTCTTTTCAATTGATCGGCATACAAGTAGATGAATATTTGTGAATGACATAAAGATGAACCAGTTTGAGTCCCATAAATGCACAAATACACCTTCTGTTCCATATTTCACCCCCTCTACGGCCAAAATAAATGACGACCAAGGTCACAACATTACTAGTGTAGTAACTTGTTGAAATGTTCTTGAAATCGAGCATTTCAGTTGAGATAGTTCTGTGGTTATACTCTTCCCAGACTGTGTGTATATTGTACTAATCGAGGTGCAAGCAGTGCTATTGAATGAGGCAAAAATGTATTATGGTTAAATATTAATACTGGAGAGGAGACAGGATCTAGAGATCTTTGTAGGTTCCCAGAAATGCTGTACCTAAAACTATTTTGAAAGCTCACAAGTGCTTTGGTGGTCGTCTCTGTCCAGTTCATTATTTGGTTCCCACATTATGGATTCAGCTCAAACTGTCACTCAGAGTGTCACTGTGAGAGCCAGCATAGTTTACATTGTGGTAAAGGCATTCGTGCACCATGACTATAATATTTCACATGCCCACTGGCAAATGCCTTAACTTAAGTATTCATAAACTAGCTCAACCTCAGCTCACCCTATAATTTAATGTGCTGGTGGGCACTGGAGAGACATGCATGTGTGAAATGGGTGCATGGCTTTCCCAGAATTTTCCCCTGGAAATCATTAAAATACTAGCAGAGAAGCTATCTGGTAATATCGGTCTCATGTTATATTTATTTCATTTTTATATTTACTAATAGTTTTTTAATAACTTAATATACACTATACTGTTTAAAAGTTTAAATTGTATGGTTTTTTTATCTTTATCCCTATACTAAGTCTGCATTTATTTAATCCACAGTACAGTAATAACAATTATTTGACATTATTGCAATTTAAAATAAATGTTTTCTACTTCAGCGTTAAGTTAAAGGGGTCATATGATGCTTTTTTAAAGATCATTATTTTGTGTATTTGGTGTAACAGAATATGTTGACATGCTTTAATGTTCAAAAAACACATTATTTTTCAAATACTGTACATCATTGTAGGTCCTCTATGCCCCGCTTCTCTCAAACGCTTAGTTTTCTACAAAGTCCCTCCTTCCGACAAACGCAGTCTGCTCTGATTGGCCAGCTAACCCAGTGCATTGTGATTGGCCGAAAACCGCAAGCACTTGTCTGAAATGTAACGCCCCTTACCATAATCACAAGCTTCATCTTTCAAAATAAATGTAAAGACAGAGCCCGAAAGGGGAACAGAGTCACGTGACAGACACAGTGATGAAGCTGGTATGTGTTTGCAGTACACAAGCCACGGTTAAGACAGCTGACTCCACTGTGATGCGACCCTGTCTCTCTCGCTCTCTCTCACACTCACACACACACAGCGCGCGCACACATACACACGATGCACAAAACTCCGCATTTGAACAGTCAATAGCAAATACTTAAACTAATAACAAAACAGTAGCTGATTCAGAAGCGCCAGATTGTCGTAGCAAAGTCAGAATTACCTCCTCTCCTAGGTTCACGAAACGGTCGTCCATAAAATGCATTGCTGTTCTGTTGTAAGTAATCTTAAAGATTCCTAAATGCATCTACTTTCGGAAGGCCAAATAAAGTGCTTTTGCTTTCGCCTAGAAACAAAATGGATTCATGGTGTACTCGATTATTATATAAATTTTGTACATTTTGAACACAAAGTTACGGACTGCAGCTTTAAGTTAAGTTATTCCTGTGATGGCAAAGCTGCATTTTCAGCAGCCATTACTTCAGTCTTCAGTGTCACATGATCCTTCAGAAATCATTCTAATATGCTTATTTGGTGCTCAAGAAACATTTCTTATTGTCATAAATGTTGAAAACCGTTGTTGTGCTTAATTGTTGTGCAAAAAGTGGGAAAAGTGCTACTTTTTTCAGGATTTTTTATTAAAAACAATTGAAAAGAACATCATTTTTTTAAATAATCTTTTAAAAAGTTGTAAATGACTTCACTATCACTTTAAATAGATACATTTCTATGTATCCTTGCTGAATAAAAGTGTTAATTCTTATTTATTTTTTTAAACTGATCCAATAATTTAAACAGTAATGTGTGTATATATTGTGTGTGTCTCAAGTTTAACTCATGTAAATATTTTCTTTTTACAGGTGATGTGCGGCTCACACCAGAAGACTTTACTCGGGCTCAGAAATACTGTAAATACGCAGGCAGTGCACTGCAATATGAGGATGTGGGCACTGCCATCCAGAATCTGCAGAAGGCCCTGAAGCTACTAACCACTGGCAAAGAATGAGACCATTGTGCTGTCCCCCCTAAAACCACTTTATCAGAGATCTGGCCCAGAGGAACTGAAAAAGGGCCTTTTCCTTAGCCCCATCTGTATCAAAAAGAGACACGCCACAGGACGCCCCCCCATCACTCAATACAACATCTGTTTCTGCCATATTGGATGTCAATAGTTGCTCATTACTAGACCGATGAGATACAGATACAACACTAAAAAATCAGGTGCATGTGAAAGACCCTTTCAAATTCTGAGGAGTTCATACATATTCATGGTTTGAGGTGTTTTAATGTTTTTTTTCTGGCTTCACAACAATTTGGTTAGATATGCATGGACATGGAAGCATGTCTCAAGATATCTTTTAAGCAGGAATTCTCATCTTACCTCAAGCTCTCTGCAACATGAGCTTTAGAGACACTTTGCCCTTAACTACTTTTACTACTTTCCGTTCACTTCTATGTGTATGCTTCGGGTGAAAGGATTCTGCAGTTAGTTTACATAGTAACTGTTTTCTGCCGTTAGTTATGCATTGCTCTGATCAACAATAAATCTTTTCTTGGTCAGCTCTTTTATTGGTCATTTGCAGTGCACGTTTGGTGGTTGATTATTAAATGTAGTCATTGTGTGCTGCTTTCCAAGGTGTATGCATTGAATCATGTGAACTATAAGCATTGCACACATGCAGTTAGAACATGAATAAGGATTATATTAATGTTAACTTTGGATCTCTGCACAGATGGCCTTAAATCAATGGCAATTATAAACCAAATCAATTGAAAATGTGTGCAGATTATTCGGCTGAATTAAATTCAAAAGACTTTCAGTCATTTTTTTATTGAAGCTGTTTCTGCTACAGAATAAGAAAAAAAAAAAGAAATTGCAATTTTTTATCTTGCATGTCAGATAAACTCGCTATTCTTTAAAAAATAAAAAAGTTACAATCACGAGATATAAAATTATGACTTTTTTTCTTGCAATTCCAAATTTACATCTCGCAATTCCGATTTTTTTTCTCGGAATATTGAGTTTACTTCTCGCAATCATGTCTTCGCAGAATTCTGAGATTATCTCTCACAATTCTGACTTTTTCTCAGAATTCTGAGTTTACATCTCGTAATTGTGCACAGAATTCTGAGTTGAGATTCTGAATCTCAAATTGATACTACTACTACTACTACTACAATTAAAAGATTTTAAAGGTAACTTGCAACTTTTTATCTCATTCTGATATTTTTTTTTCTTGCAATTACGAGTTTATATCTCAGAATTTGGACTTTCCTTTTTAGTGTCTCACAAGGGAGTGAACATCTCACAGTTAGATATAAACTCAGGATTGTGAGAAAAAGTCAGAATTGTGAGTTTTAAACGTCACAATTACCTTTTTCCATGGTAGAAACAGGCTTCCATACTTTCTCCTTCACTGTCATAAATGCCTTTTTTTTTTTTTTTTCATGCATAATGTTGATTTTTGAATCATTCCAGGTGGCAGTAACAGTAAAATGTGCCGCAGTAAGTATTCCTGCAGACTGAAAGACAGGGATGATATTGTATTTCAAAGGCATTAAAGGTAATATACACTGAGTGTATTAATGTTATGATGGGTCATTTTTTACTAGTCACAACCTGTTCAGCCCTATGCATGACTGAACATGGTCAGTTCAGTGTGCATATTCAGGAAACATCTAATTACAATAGACAGTTCCTGTTGTTTTCTGCTCGACTTGTGATTGTTGCGGTCACATTAGCGGTGTCACTGTTTTCCTCTCTTTCCACAGTTTAGCCTGAAGTGTAATAGAAAGGGCATTGCACTTATCTGGAAGTAGACTGAGCTATCACTGCATGCATCTGCATTTGCCTGAATCCTTTCCTGCCTCACTGTGGATGCAAATGAACATCACCTGGGATTTTCCATCCCACCTGTCTTACTCCTTTGTACTCTGGTTTAATTGGCTTAAGTGAATTTACAAAGTAATGTATTGCTTCTGATAAAATCCATCTAGGACAGCATATACATTTACACTACAGCGGAGGATTAAACCATAACATTGTCTGTTAACCTTTAAAAATTAACCTTAAATTCTGAGTGACCACATTCATCAAATTTCGTGACTTTATAATCTCTTTTTAGTGTTTAAAGTGTTTAAGGGTATTGACGTTGACGCACACAGATAAAGTTTATGACTTGATCTCTATCAGTGGTGTGGGAATAGAGAAAGCCGTTAAATCTTTTTTTACCACCATGTATGCTGCATTATCATTCAAATTTACCATGTTTTACAATGGCTATTGAGCAGAACAAATGAGTAATTTGTGAACAGCAAAGAATTTGGAAGGATCGTTCAAACCTTAATTTCTGGCTCTGTAGTTGGTTTTTTTCCATTCAAAATCTTCAGCCAAGTTCCTGTGTTATGGTGATAAAATGTCATTGTGACTGTAAATCTCAATACTAAACAAAACATATAAATGTAGCTAGCCTATAATAAATGTCCATGTTATTGTCTATGGGTTCTCACACCCACAATAGATCAAAACCTAATAGTCCCCTTCAGGGACTCTATCTGATTCAAAGAAAGAGGCAGGCTCTTCATCCAAATGAAGGATGACAAAATGTGTAGTATTATCATTCATCAGCTCATAGGCTTGTCGTAAACAGGAATTGGTTACAAGCACATAACCTGAGATTTCTGTAGAGCGTACTATTTGACCTGAATGTTGAAATGTAAGTATCTGGGGTAGCCTACATGCAAATACAGTTATCCGACTTGTAGGAACTATCTAACTGGAAGATCTTCTCTGACGTTGAAAACAAAGTAGCTAGCATGGGTGACTGAGGACAAGCTCATTCTTACAGTCCTTTTATAAGGTCTTTAACAAATTAGTAAGAAGTAATAATTTGTTCATGAAAATATAATTAGAAAAAATGACTGAATTATATAGGCTATATTTTGTTCTTGTATTTTTTTGCATTTTTATTTTCTGATTTAGTTTAACAGGTGATTTATTTAAAGTTACATATGAAAAAAATTGTGTATATAGCCTATATATATTATATAATATATATTATAATATATATTATATAAAATTCTCTTTCTCCCATTTGTAGATTTTTATATATAGTTAATAAAATGTGGTTAATTTAAAGTTATGTATATAATAGCCTATATAGTTAATAATATATCGTTTTTAAAAAATCTAGTTCTCTAATTTTTTTTCTTTCTCACGAGTGTATGTTTACTGTAGCCTATATATAGTTAATATAATGTAGTTAATTTAAAAATTATATAATGTATAGTTAATTTAAAATGACACAAAAAACAATATTAATATTTTATATATTTCTCCTCTATTTTTCGTTTTTTTTTCCTTCACACGTGTGTGTATTATTAGTCTATACCTAAATAAGACATTTTATATAAAGTAATCATATGCTTAATTATACATTGTTGCTCATATTATCGTATTTAATCCTAGCAACAGTGCGTACCAAACACTAATGTAAAGTATTCATTTCTTTCTTTCTTTCTTCTTTTTGGGGTCTCCTCGGGATTTCTCTCACTGAAGGGTGGGGCTCTATTGAGAACTGCCTCCAGCGGTTGGACAAGCACAGTTTTGTCTAGTAAACTCTTGTTAACGCTTTACCCAGCATCTGTCTGCTCGGAGAACAGGTTCATCCGAGGTTCAAAAATAGATAGTGCAATTAATTTAAAAATATCTCCGATGATGATATGTGTGTGTTAATCACTGGCGTGGCGCGTGAAAGTTGATGGTGGGCTGCCTCTCAAAAGTTCTCACAAGTTGTTCAAACAGGAGAAGAGATATAATGCTTCTTCAACGAGACGAGCTTCAATGAAATAATGTAAGTGACTTTTTGAACTACTTATACGTTTCTTTGTGAAATTAGCCGAACGTTACATATTCAGACTAAATCTCAAGTAAATAAATCTTGTGATTTTCCCTGTTTAACTTTCGCTGACAATAAAGGGCTCTGATTAGTTGAAATAGAATTTGACCAAAAGATATTGATACGTTTTAATGTTTAAAATATCGTCTAAAATTAATCCTAATAATAATACTATTAGAAACTGAGTGAGCTGTGAGACCTCTACGTGTTTTATTTATATATATATATATATATATATATATATATATTT